TATTATTGTAAGAAAATCCTACATTGTAATGTGCATGGTGTTCTAATGTATATTCCATAAGCATTTAATTCAATAAAGTAATACTAAATAGTAAGGTGAAAATAAGTATAAGATATACAGGAAAGCTTTTTAATATTTTAACCAGAAAATTACACTTAACTAGATGGTGATATTCACTATACAATAATTAAGTCATAAATGAATACCTCTAAGTACATACTTTGCTGAATATAGTTTTAAATCAGGCCAAGTATGAGTTACATAGACAATTCTATTAAGTGTAATCTTTCTATATATCGTTTCCATATACACCTGTCAATACAATAGCAGCTACGCAAGAATAAATGATTCATTAGACACTCATAACTTCTTGTCTCATGTAATTTGTCTTTATAATTTTAAATTATGAAAGAATCCCAAGGATCTTTTCTTACTAAAGTATTTTGAAGTGATCCATATTTTATTAAGTTTCAAGAACAACCCCCCACACACCTACCCACACACTCAAAATTAAGTAACCATTAAAATTACTGTCATAATTCACATATCCATAAGGGAGAAAAACTAATTCTAAATTTAGATAGTTACATCCAGCAAACCATTCATCCTTTTTTACCTGTTACACAATAACTGATGATTATAAAGAGCTGAAGTTGTCTTTTTTAATTATCTAAAACAAGGGAACATCACTTTTGGGTTTTCATTGTTTAGTCTTCCTTTATAAAGTTGTGTGTGTGTGTGTGTGTGTGTGTGTGTGTGTGTGTGTGTGTGTGTATGTGTGTGTGTGTTGAAGGGCACGGATATTCTTCAAGTTCTTATGGCAATTTCCTACATCGTTACCAAAACAAAAACTTGGTTTAACCGAATATTAAATCACTGTGAAATCTGTTAATCTATAGCACATTTTACACATTTGTGTACTTTTAAAATTCACTTCCATTTGATGGACTGTTTTAATCCTCCTTAACTAGTGAGTAAGTGAAAATAAATGGTATATTCCTAATACTACAAATAGGAAAAATAGAAAGTACTTTGGGTCTACAGGGAAATCTATTAAAATCTGTCCGTTTTCCAGTTAACATATTCTCATTCTGTTTGTGTACTAACCCACTGCATTGAGAAGACAGATCTCAAATTCACGGCCTCACAAAAACATTGTCCTGATTTCATGTTTTGACAGCAGAAATTGGCCCAAATCTCTAACCATTTCCCCTACAGGACCCGGGCTGGCTGGTGCCATCCAGGTGCGGCACAGTCTGACAAGGGGAACATCGCGTCAAATTCCACTCATCTGTCAGTGTAGTGGATTATTTCTTGAGAGACTGAAATTGGCTGCTTAGGATGGGAACACCATCAATCTTACTGGGTAGGGGATGGTAAAGAGGCTGCTGGTAAGAGGCTGGCAAGAGAGGGACCAGCCGTTCCTAAGCAGGTGAGGAGGCAGCTGTAAAGCCTTCCCTCTCCCCCCATTCAGGGCTCTGAGGGAAAGATTTGTCATTTTTCACATTTCCCCGATACTTGGTATGCATGCAGTGTCCGCCTGCTCCTGCTTTATGAAAGAGGTGATTTTTCAAGCTTAGGCAAATGGGGCAAAGCTCAGGGTCTGCCTGGTGTCTCATTTTTTCTCATCATGTCACTTGTTTTAACTGATTTGAGAAAATGAGATTATGTTTTTCCTTTTTGCTCATTTATCCAGCTATTTATTTATTTATTTGCTCATTTGGGGTGGATTGCCACAGAAAACTGGCCCTGATTTCTCTCTTGTTTTCATACACATTTCATTAGTGTCCCTGAAGATTTAAGACCCACAAAGGGAAACATCACAACTCTCATCAAAAAAAGCATATATTTACTCTTAAAATCAAAACAGATTGTATTAAAGGAGATTGTATTTCTGACTGAAATAATCTAGAATATTGCTATGTCCAAGATCTATCGCTTTAATCTTTGCAGCTATTGTTGAAAACCCAAGAAAGTTGAATCAGCCTATTACATAGAACGATTGGACTTTCAGTCAGATATCATTTGAATCTTTCTGCATCCAGAGAGGAGTATATATAGTTTCTTAATTTCATCAATGAATCTGAAATGGATCTCAAATGTGTAAGCACTTTGGGTTGAAACTGGTTTTGGTGCTAGAATTTCTTAGGTTATTTGACATCCGGATCAACCATGCATTGGTGATAATAAGCAATTTCTATGAGCAGACAATGGAGAAAATAAACATTGAGTTTAATTTTAGTCAGAATTTAATGATGTGTTTCTCACTGTAAGATTATAATATTTTGATAACAAGCCCCATAAGGATTTGCATTTACTTATTACAGGTAGCATAGTCATAACCCCCGACCAAAAAAATCTCATGTATTAACTGATTAACAGAGATAGTCCAAGTGAAAGCTCACTGCAAAGTGTACTATATTACATAACTCTACAAATTGAGTGAAACAGACACACGCATTTGGTTGATATATTCTAGCCAGGTATCAAATAGTTAAAAAAAAAAATTCACAAGATTAAAACAAGATTTTTGTCCTACATGGATTATTCGCTGTGTGAACAGCAAAACTTCACTCATTCAACATGTCTGACAAGTACCTTTGTGGTCTATTAAGTCGAGATGTCAGTAATTACTGATGCTTATGAAGGGCTTCACAGTTTGCAAAGCACTTTCACAGTGATGGTTTTATATACACCCCACAATATCCCTAAACGGAAAACCGGCTCAGAGAAGAAAAGTGACTTTCCCAAGGTCATGCCACTAATGTTGAGTAACAGAGATGAGGGACTCCTCTTGGTCTTGAGCTCCAGCATCGCCAAGGGCACCACCCACCAGCTCTGCCACGGCCACTCTTCAGAATAGGTTTGCAATTTAAAGGTGTCTGTGGATCAACGCAACTTGCAAGTTTTCACAAATTGAGAAAAACTATTCAGACCTCCTCAGAGAGGCTACCTGGCATGACTATTCCGTGCCCTGGGAGGCATTATCCCCTCCTGGGAAACAGGCCAGGGAGGTGACATCAGACCATCCTGACTTCCAATGGCAGTTATTGGCTGTGCCTTCTCACTCAAGTCACTTGATCCCTCAGAACTTTGGTCTCCCGGGCAACAGATGGATGGAGGGCGGGGGAGGGGGAGGAGGGAGGCTTTATGTTTGGGGAGGGGGTAGTATGGGGGAATAACCTACTTGTATAAGGACTAAGACAACGTGAGGGTGTGCCTAAACACTCACAGTGGTTATGTTTTTTAGGAATTCTTATTGTTAAGTATTACAATGAATGAAGGTTTCCCGCGTTATTTGTATGACGGTAACAAGTCAAGGGCGTTTTTGCCACAACAGACTGGTGGTGAACTGACCCACTCAAAGGTCCCAAAACCTGTGTTTGTTCTTCCCCCACCTCGGCACGGAAGCCTGGGAGTCTGGCGGTACGCGCTCCGGGTTCAGGACCCACGAGGCAGAAATACAAGCGCGCGGCAGGGGCGGCCGCGCGGTTTCCATGCCCACCTGCAGGGGGACCAGCGCCTGCTCGCCTTGCCTCCCGGAACAGGGCGTGGGGACTGAGGGTGGCTGGGGCCCAGGCGCAGCCCGGGGTTCAGGCCGCCTCCGACCCCTCCTCCCGCCCTCTCCCCCCGCCCCCCTTCGCCCGGGGGTGGTCCGGGCTCCTGCAGCGAACCCACTGGCGCGAGCTCCCCTGCAGCCGGGTGCGGGCGCGCGGGAGGACCCAGGGCTGCACCCTCGCGCGTTGCATCCTGCCCGCAGCCTGCAGTCAGAGCCCGGGGAGGCAGCCAGCAGCGCCCCGGGAGATGGTGCTGGACGACTGTGCCGAGGAGCCCAGGATTGGTGCCCAGGCCGGCTGCGGAGCCAGGGATAGGCAAAGGCGTGGACGCCGGACGCAGCTGGAAGGAGCCAAGCTGAACGTTTGGGAGGAGGCCAGGAAGGAATTTGGAGAGGGGCCGGAGGGCTGGGAGCGGTTCAGAACGGAGGATCTGGAGCCTGCCGCGTAACTAGTCCCTGGAGCCCGGACTGGACTGACTGGGCGATGGTGGAGGGGGTTGGGGAGGAGGCGCAGGTGGAGGGTGGAGTAAACGAACGCAAAGGCCGAAATTAAACAGAATATGGAAAGAACTCTTTTCAGTCAACCAGTGAGGGTAAGGACAAATCGAGCTGGGGGACAGTAATGAGAATGGCAAAGAAGGAGGAAAAAAAAAAAAAAAAAGTCCAGACCGAAGAGTGAGGCCGTGGAATGATAAGAAATATACTTTAAACAGAAAGGCAAAGAAAGAAAAATGCATCTGGAAAGCACAATTCAATATACGGGGGAAAAAAATCAGGCTAACGGGAACTTGTTCCTGGAAGTGCCAAGAAAGAGAGAGAAAGGAAAAAAATAAAAAGCCGCCGAACAAAGTGGAAGAACAGAAAGTGAAGGGAGAAAGGAAAGGAGACAAAATAAACCAGGCAAGAAATAGTAAGTTATTTTTAAATTTCTTTTTCATTGACAAATTCCTTCCAAAGTTAATTTTAGCACATACGTCCCCCCCAAATTCTGAGCCACATACACACTGACATTAGAGTATGTGCGCTTAGGTAGGATATCCCAGGAATACATACACATTACGTTATTGGTAGCAAAGATCAGGTTTTGCCTGTCTAAAAATTCCTCAAGTCCGGCAAGTTATCCCACCTTGTGCAGAATATGTTGCTCTTGGCCAAAGTACCCCCCAAAAACGTGACTTTTACTTTTTAAGGTGTGAGGAAGAGGGTAGGGAGACTCTAAGAGAAGACCTTTTAGTTTTTTGTTTTCCTGAGAAATTAACAGAAATACCTCTAAGGCATTGTAGTATCACCCTCACCTTTCGCCCCCAGCATCCGGTCAACAATATGCCTTGGAATTCAGACGCAAGCTGCCCGCATTATAGCACTTTCTGTCACTTACATTCAGCCATCTGTTAAGGTGACAGCGGCGAGACTGGAGGCTGCATTGGAGCCAGCTTCGACTTACCTGGTCTGTGCAGGTGGTGCTGCTGGAAGGTGTGCTGAAGGGTTCCATGGCACAGGAGCACCGCACAAGCACTTATCCACAAATACAGGACCCAGGACATCGCAGAGACCATTGCCATTCTCTAAAGACAACATGAGACAGCAAGGATTACCCCCAGCTTCAAGCCCCCAGCTCAGTCAGTCCCACTGATGAAAGAAGGGGTGTCTCAGACGTCATGTCCCTTTTGCTACTTTGCTGGCTGGAATTAATAACCCAGCAGAGGTCATGCCACGAAGTAGGACTGAGGGAAAGCTCTCTCCAAGAGATCATGAATTCTTTTTGAAATTCTGCAAAACCAAACTCCAAGGATTGCCAACACACAGAAATAAATTCAGGGTTTTGCCTTCGGGTTAGGCAGTTTGCAACATAGTATCCTGACTATACATCCTGTTTTACGCAATGATCTTTAAACTATAGTTATTCCAGGCATTGAAAAGCTGCAGACTCCTGTTCCTTCTAACTTCATTGTAAGTCTGACATAAGCCTGAAAAGGAAAGAGTGGATTCTTTTTTTTTTTTTTTTTAATTCTACAGTCATGAATTTTTAATCATTCTGCTGTCTTCTAAACTAAGTAATCATTTCTCAGAGGCATGTTGTAATCTCCTGATAGAACCTGTCTTTCTGGCTGGACTTAAAATCAGAAAGAATTGTCTTCAGCCAGAATGAGTTTCAGATGCAAGATCTATGCTTCTATCCTAGAGTGAGGCATAATTTACAATGTTGCTTTGCCTCCTAAGATCCCATTGTGGCATGTGTTGTGTAGTGGTGATGAATATGCATATACAGGTGGTGTATGTATTTATGGATGAACATATACCTTTTCTCAGGCGCTGAAACTTTGACAGCCTTATCTGCACCTATAAGGATCTTAGGAGCTACAAAGACTCAACTGCGCTACATATTGTCCAATTTCTCAAACAACACCTTATGCTGCATTTCATATTGCCAAATTAATCAAACTTGAAGCATCGTCCTTACTCAGGCAGTGATATGGAAGCATTTTTCTCTACAAGAATCCAGTTAAGTGTATGCTTTTCTCTTAGAGAGAGCTTCAGAACCCAGATTGTTCCTTTTAAACATTTTCTACTGTCAAATTACACCCTACAAGTGTTTCAACGATACATTTAAAATCTGCTAGTGACCTCCCAATGTGGTTTCTTTATTCATGGAAATTGGCACTCTTTCAAAAACTGTGATGTTCAGAAAGCAGAAAGATACAAATATATATGTATGTATATGTATATACAGACATAATACAAGATAATTTATGGGCTTTAGGAGAGAGATGCAGTCTTGAAGGGTTTAGGACTATAATAGACAAACGGTGACAACCGTAATTAAGTCCAAAGTAGGAAAACATTATTTGCAACAGCATGGTGCCTTTCATGCCTCACTCTGTGATTCAGATGGACCATTCACTTTATAATTACTTTCACTGCCCACTGTTTACTTTTGTAGACAACAGATTTAGCCTCATTGTCTTCATAACTATCAGTATAATATAGATGCATTCTCTTCAGCAGAGATAAATAGCAACACCCCTTCTGTGAATCTTGAAGTGAATGCGTTTGGGGGCCTTTTTCAAATACCCTGCAAATTACAGAAAGACAAAATAGAGGTGGCTGTGGCATGCATTGCCTACTTGTGAATTTCAGTTAAAATGCACTAGGAATTCATCTCAACTTTCAAAAAGCCAACCACAATCAAAACTTAACAGTTTTTCAATGACTGCTTTCTCTTGCTCATTTCTTCCCACACATATATTTTAGCACTTAAAAAGATTCCTGTGACTTCACATTTTCAGTATTTTCCTTCTTTTTCCTTTTTTTATTTAACTTTCTTTAATTCTTAGCATCACTTCCAAGGTTCGTGCATATCACTCTCGTTGCTTACTCTCTTACCAAGAGCTTGTCTCTATGTTAATAAGTGTGTTCCACCAAATAATGCATCCAGCCGTACATAGTTCCCTACATATGACTGAACAGGTTACAAATCTGCTTTCTGAATCTTAAATCCTTAAAGAGTCTTCTTACCTGAAAAATCCAGCCAAGAGCAGAGTACTCTATTAGTGTTCATTGGAAAGCTCTAACACTTTCTAAAATCCATCTGTGCACAATTGGAGATTTTAAGAAAAAAAAAAAAAAGAGCTTCCCAATAATCTTCTTTATCAGGATTAAAAAATATGTTTTTTCTTCCGATGCTATTTCCACAGTAAAGAAGACATCGGGCGCATTCAGACTGTATTGTCAGAAAAGGAGCCAAGGTTTGAGGGGTGGAAACCTTGTCATTTTCACCTTTAAATCATCTCCTGGCGTCACCTCTGCCTGATGAGACCTTTGAAGGGATGGTGGAATAATGTGCAGTTTCCTGATGAGAATCAGTTTACAGTTAATGATAGACCATCCCCAGTCCCGTGCATTCAGGGAAGAGTAAGGCAGCAAAATGTAGGAGCAGCGCTGCTATACGGTGCTGTAAGTAGCAGTAGTCTGGTAGTCTGTTTCGATACATCCCTCCTCTGTAAAGTATCACATGTCTTAAAGTGACATTACCCTCTATTACAGCTACAGTGAATTGAAATGCCTGCCCACTAACTCTTCAACAACTCAAGCTGCACTTTAACACTGTACTGCCTGGTATGTTATGTAGAGCTCTTACTGATGCTGTTCATTTGCCAAAAGAGTAAAGAGGGAATGAGAAACAAAAGAAAAAGCATTCTGCAAAATATTGATAGTGTTAATGGGTGTTAGACTTGTAACAATAAACTCGAAAGTGAACTGCGAGCCATTTCTTACCTCTTCATGTTCTTTGAACCAGTACATTAACCAAAAATATTGTTAGGCTTATACAAATTTAAGTCTGTCGATTGTTTTGGTAGCTAAATCTGGGAATATGGTATACTTGGAATACAATATAGATGCTTATATGCATAAGCCCAATAAAAACCTTCTGAGGTTTTTGAACATGTTTAATAAATAGAAACATGTCATTTTCAGCATCAAAGACTGGGTTTTAACAAATAAATATGCTCAGTGCATTTTTTAAAAAAATTTCCCTCTCCCTCTAATAACATGCTGGTATGGGGGAGGAAACACTCAAATTGAATATTTTGTTTCTAGTACTGTGTTATGGACACTCTCTTCTTTGGAAATATAGTGTGATTATATCTGAACATCAACGATGCATGTAAGGTGACCTAGTTTTCGCTTATTGACTGCATGGGCACTGATAGTCAGAAATATTCATTCAGTTACTTCATGAATTGCTTATAAAGCACCTACTATGTGTTGGATACTTGGACAAGACAGAGAACTAAACGAATGTGGTCTCCACTGTCATAGTTCATAGTGATGAGGGAACCTGGGGCAAACTGAGGGCAAAATACAGGCTGGCACTCTCCCTCCCCCCACCCACAGGTAGAGTATGTATGATATTCCTGGGACACTCCTGGCTACCCAAGAACAAAGGAAGGGGGTTTAAGTGCTTGCCATGGTGATGTGGGAAACTAAGCACATGAAAAATTAAATTCTCTTACTGCCTACAGCCCACTGACACGTCCTTGACACCAGCAGAGTGACCTCCCTCTAGAAGCTCAGCTGCCTCCATGATGACACGGTGCTGGGGGCAAAAGGGAATCTTAGCTTAACATTATCCCAACCTCGAGGATCCTGTAAGTCTACTTCCTTTATCTTAACTTCCCCAAGATATAGGGTAGCAATCATACTCTAGGCTTATGGCCTCCCAGAATGCATCTGAAGGGTCTCATGATTGAGGTTGTATTAGACAGCAATAAGTGGTGTTTCCCTAGCAACAGTTAGCCCCTCAAGGTCCTTGAAACCTTGCTTCCAAAATACCTTAGAGACTTATTCTATGCCTGACCCCCTCCCAACCTGAGGGTGTGTCATGAGTTACCCGACCCCCAGTACAGATCTTTCTGCCCATGGGTCCTGTCCCTGTGCGTAAATAAAATCACTTTTTTTTGCACCAAAAACTTCTTCAAGAATTCTTTCTTGGCTGTTGCCCTGGACCACCCACCATCACTCCAAAACTTCATCAACACTGTTTAGTCTTTCATCCTTTTTTTTCAAAATCAAAGTGGTTCTCATAACTTTCCTTGCTCACAAACCTCTCAAAACACCTCAGAATACTCCTGCTTTGCACAGATGTTATAAAAAAAGGTCAGTGCTGCCACCATGCTATTTTGGAAGTCATCCACTTTTTTCATGTTACAGAGTGAAAGAGAGACCCTGCAGACACAGAGATCTTCCCCACTGGTGTTTCTCCCTTTACACAATACAAATGTAACAACACCAAAGTTCTAGTTAGTAGTGTGTGTTTCATTTCAGTGGTTCATTACTGTTGTGCTGGTGACACAAACAGAAATTGTACACCGACTGTGCAATCTCAAGAAAAAATAATAATAATAGGGCAGCAGCTAATGCTTATTGAACTTCTACTATGAGTACCACTACTCTGTAGTATGTTGTTTCTAAGGTATCAGGTATAATCCTTTTTACTAAGTCCATAGGATAAATATTTTCATTCTTATCTCCATTTCAAAGATGAGTAACCCGAGGGGGAACAGGGGGATTTAAAAACTTGCTCAGGGTCGTATAGCTAATAAGCCTTAGAGCAGGTTTCAAACTCCAGTATTCTGGTTCAAGAACCCATCTCATAAAATATTTCACGGTTAAAACAACACCCCAAAATTAACCATTACATTTTCTTATTTCCTTGTCATTAAGATGGTCTCAAAAAAAGTATCATTCATTCATTCAAAAAGTATATACTGAGTACATTCCAGGCTTTTGAAATATAGATGTGTGTAAGGTAGTCTTTATGATTTTTTTTTGGTTTTGTTTTTGCTATGCTAATGAATTCAAATTAAAAGGAAGTTCACATTTACTACTAATGGCTACCATTTTAAAAAAAAGTAACCATTACGTTCTTCCTTTCCAGGGATTAAATTAAAGCTAAACACAGTAACTTATCTACAAATTAATTCAATTTAATAAGCTTGAAAGATGTACTAATGGATTATGTTCAAGGCACTCAGACAAGCATTGTTAATTTTTCAAAAAAAGACTGGAAGAAAGACATGCTCTTTCAAGCTTAAGTGACTTTCAATACATGTATGTGATGGAACAAGAATATCAACGTAGTTCCATTTGTCCCCCCAAATACCTTGTAGAGCACTGTATTGCAGCAAATGACCATGTGTCCTAATAATATAAGCATCAACAAATATTGGCATTTAAGGCAATTTACTCCACTCTCCCAACTATTTTGTGATAACAAAACTATTCTCACACCTTTCAAAGAAGTTGGGACTTCCTACTGTCTGGCCATAAAGGGACTGCATCTCCTGATTCCTTTGTGGTTGAGTGCACCATAAAGTTCTGGCCAAGGAAGTGTCTGCAGAATTGATGGTATCTTTTTGAGGCTGAAGCATTTAATGTTGAAGCAACACCTGCCTTTGCATGATGAACAGGGACTAGCCACACTCTCAGCCTGGATCCTTGTGTGATCACAGAGCACAGGCCCTCCTCTTTTCCTACCAACCCATAATGGATATTCACAGTGAATAAGACATATTTTGTTCTTTAAGCAATTGAGATTTGAGGGCTATTTGTTACTGCAGCATAATCTAGTCTACTCTGACTGGTAAGGACTTTAACGTACATTATTCATGTATTAATTGAATTTTTATTTCCCATACACTGCCCTAAGCTCTGAGGATACAGCAGTATACACATGAAACCAAGTTCCTGCCTTCTCAGAGCCTTTTGCAATAGAAATCCATTGGAGATTATTTTATTTTTATTTTTATTATTTTTTAATCAGAGCAATGATAAATCCAAAGCACTGATTGCTGCTGCCAGAATCCCTTAGGATTCTGAAAAACCGGGAGTTATAGGCTTATTACTCATGTGGCCCGTGGCTATGTCCTACTCAGCCATATTGTTCTGTGGGCACAGTATTTACAAAAGGCCAAGGACAACAGCACCGTTGTTTTAGCCCATCCAGTTTCTTTAATTCAAGATACCCAAGTAGCTGGGAATTCAAACCATGATTCAGGCCAAAGTCCTAAAGATCTACATTTCAAACATAGTGTCTATGTATATACACATTTGTTGATGTAAAGACAAAAACCTATTCATTAACCTATTTATCACCCCCATGGAGAAACTCACTTTTATTAAGAGGAAAAACAATGAAAATAACTGAGGGTAAAAGCTAAAACGCTCAGAATTGCGAAATAGCCAAGAATATTCAGCAAATTGTCCTGTATAATAAGAAGCAGTGGGCAGAGGGAATGAGTGATAGAGTATATGACAGGAGAAAAGTAGGAGAGAGAAAAAAATTGGTGGGAGGTATAGAGGCAGAGACAGAAATATATCAGAGGCTCAGGAAGAGGACTTAGAACAGAAATGTCCAAAGGGGATTTCTTGGTGGGAAACCATATCCTAAGGAGTGTGACTCCTCTGTTTCTCCAAATGATTATAAAAGTCTAAAAAAAATTAAAAACCTCATCTATACTTTGTGTTAGTTATTAAGTTACCTGGGAAACCCATTGAAAGGGCTAATTCCTGCACCCTGACCTAAGGTACCATGAGACAATTCCTCATTCCACTGATTATCACACTTCTTACTTCTTCGCATTAGAAATAAAAGCCATCTTACTTCAGTTTAAGAAGAGTCCACTTAATAATTTGGCTAATTTTAATTCACAAATGTTCGGAGAAAAAAATTGAGACATGTAAGAATTTATGTCTATTCATATTTCTAAATTGAAAAATAACTAAAGGAATTTAAATAAATTACATCTGGACTAAGAAACATGCCAAGTTTCAATCCAATGCAAATTAAGGTGGCTTAGAAGTATCCCATTTAAATCATATTTCTTGAAATAACACATTTTAGTTGTTATTTCTCAACCCTGATGGGTTTTTTTCTTGTTTCATTTCAGTTGGCTTATGACAATGGAGGCATGGATGAAAAGGTAATTGTCATGGCACTTTCTCTGTCATCCATGTGCCTTCTGTAGCACTGAAGCCCAATTTCTTTTTTTCTTATAGTCATTGGGGCTACCTATCAGTTGGCTGAAAATGTCTATTTTTAGATCATCATCATGAGAAGGGTATATACCTTTTCCTTTGGCTACGTAATAATGTTATCTTTCTTCCGTTTGTGTATATAAATCATTTTTGTTATTTCACTTTTTTTCTCCTAGAACTCACCTGAAATTTTCCAGTCTATCAAGGAATTCTATGTGCCCTATGCCAGATACACAGCATGTATCCCTAGCTTGTCAGTTTTACCTTTGGGATCTAAATGGCAGGTATATACTTGCCTTATTTCTCTTATCACTTGCCATGATTCAAAATATATTTAAGCTAAGAAGAGTAAAAGGATGATGAAGAGAAATGAAGTACAATAAGAGAGTAGGAGTTATATTAATAATATGTAATATTGA